CGATGTGTGGTATTATTCAGGGAGCTTGAACTGTCAAGGCTACGTTCAGATCATTGCAAAGCTCGAGTCAGAAGCACGGAACTCTGCTTTCGAAGCTTTACTACTGCTTTAATCGATATCAGAAGAACCGTATATAACAGCAATTTGGAAATTTCTTACTGGCTCTCAGTCAAAAACATTCTGATGGAGGTTTTCTTCAAAGCACAATGACAGCAAATATTTCCGTGCCATTGGGGAGAAACCAACAAATACATATAAAGGATATGTCTTTGTCCATCAATGTCTTGTCATAGCAACTTTAACCTCAATATTTGCAATGCTTTGATCCCAGGTGCTCTGAACCCCACCGATACACTTTTGTGAACTATCGAATTCATTCGAAATAGGAGCTGAAATCCATTTCTGGCAGAAGAGCAGGGATATGTTGTAATAAGAAGTGTTCAGCCAGGTCCTTCCCAGCCTACACATATGGTGTGGTAAATAATTCCGACTACAAATAGTAAAAAAGTCTACAGATAATTCAGGTGCTCCACAAAAACCAGCCTTGTAGCCGTGTTTTCAAAAATCCAGTAGATAAGGCGCTGAAAGTAGGGTCAAGAGTTGAGTACAGCAATACCAGGGCACTATTTGTTAATTAAACGATCTTCAACAAAAGTATGAAACCTTCCCCAATTACACCACACACTCCTTTTGGTTGTTTCTGGAGCCATTGAAAGGGATTTCGTCGCCATCGCACAGCCGATGTCCGCCAATGTTTTGACTTAACACTCAAGCCCCATGCTTTACACCGATCTCGTCCTCGTCCGAAATCCCGCCTCACTTTTTTTCAGTGACACCAGAATGCAGCTCTTTCCATTCTTCAAATTTTTTTCTCATTGGGTTTCATGGAACGTCCGCTTTTGCTAATATTAATAGTTCACATGGGGTACCAGTATGTGTAACAGAACGATGGTAGAGCCACTTCATTAGTAGATTCCGTGTAGTTTTCTAAGTCCCTTCAACGGTCACCTTCCCCAAAATGTCGGATCATTTCATTCCCTATTCGCTGCTTAAACAAAGGAAAAGACATGTGGGCAGACCCAGGTGCTAACTAGGGTTTCCTTCTTCCTTTTTCATTTATGAGAACTTGAAAAAAGCTTTTGCAGAATGTTTTGGAACCTTGTCGTTGTTAACTATGAGAAGTATCGCTTACACCATATTCTCTTATTCGGTCTCTTGTTACTGTACAGGTGGGTAGAAATTATTGTTAAGTTATTATCATTCATTTTGTTTTTTTATTACCATTATCACTACCATTATTTCATCATCCTGTTATCATCTTATTATTACTTTACTACTATTTTTGTTTTTTTTTGCTGTTTGATCACTACCGTGCGCTTAAACGATTACTACTTAGCCTTTTTTTATCAATGATTCACACACGTAATAATAATTTTTATTTAATGATTTGCAAATCCTGCTACTTGTTGCTTAGGCTTAATATTACGGTGATTCACAAATAATCAACGGAGGCTTTTTGGAAGTGATTCACTTTGGTCTGACATCAAGTAGCAGTTATCTTTGGGGATGGGAGTAGGGAATCGGTGCGCAACTACAGTGTCATGGTTCTGGGATCAAATCCTGGGCCCGCATAGAGCAACTAAGTTGTCCATCTCTCCGGGGTCGGTCAGTTGGTTGTCTGGGCAAATCAATGCACTGGCTTGGATCAGTACAAGCCACATACCAGTTAGAACGGTTGGGCATCGCAATTTGTTGTACAGGCCACATACGCATTCAGTACTCCACTATGATTCTAAATGGAAGTCGAATGTCGCAGATACTTTTAAATCTCCTATCGGCCTAACAATAAGACGCACGATTTACACTAAAACGAAGAAAATAGAGAGGAAAAGTGGAACACTAGCTTATGTTCCATTGCCTTCATCCACACTGTTCGAGAAATTCGTTCTCATGGATCCAGCAAGCCATCGTTTTCACCCAGAATTCGTTGCTTGTCTCCTGTCATCGAATTAATCAGTATTAATGACAGCTGCATGCTCGGTCGCATGAAATAAAGGGAGTCCATGACGAAAAGCAGGCAAAAAAAGCCGGATGTTACTGGCTGCACGGACTCTTCCTCCGTTCCCAGTACATATGCTTTTACATATTTTTTCCTTTATGAGGTCTCGAGGCATGGTCTCGGCTGAGAGCGTCCTATCTCCAATCGATTTATTATCTGAAATGTGCCTTGAAAAGAATGCACATGATGGAAAATCCTCTAGAAAGAGCCACCTTCACGTAAGTCACGGACTAGGCTCCCATAAACGGAAAGTGAGGACAAAGTTTCGGTAGAACAGTCCACGCACTTGACCCTCATTTAAAATTGCAGTGTTTTATGAATGCGATCCTGTTCTGGACAATGATACCGATGCTCAAATCAGTGTCACTATTCTCGTAGGTAATTCTGGTATCTGATAGAGGCTCGGAACCCACTAGCTTGTCCNTTCGGTAGAACAGTCCACGCACTTGACCCTCATTCAAAATAGCAGTGTTTTATGAATGCGATCCTGTTCTGGACAATAATACCGATGCTCAAATCAGTGTCACTTTTCTCGTAGGTAATTCTGGTATCTGATAGAGGGTATCTGATAGAGGCTCGGAACCCACTAGCTTGTCCCGTGGAGGGCAGCGATCGGAAGTTTGTCTCCTATGCTTTGAATATGGCACTAGCACCACATCGTACTGCCATTTTGATCGTATAAATTAAATCATCAGCACCTTTGAATCAAGTACCAATGCGCTTTGCCACTTCATTATTCAATGCCAGGTCCCTCAAGTCGGAAGCTATCGTGAGACAGAAATCCTGACTCACTCTGTCGTGCCCATACAACAGAAAGCCAGTGGACATAGGCTAAACTGGGATTCCATCTACATCCTTGTCAACAACAGTGAAGCTACTGTAGATTCGCGGATTCTGGGAATCCGACAGCGCTCCAGAGTTTCCTAAAGGGTTCAAAAACTTATAAAAAGCCTCGAAAGCGTTGTTAGGTTACAGCTGTTTTTATTTGTTGCCGATTGTTGTTGACTTTAAAGAATTTTCTTCTTCTGCCAACATAATTACTTCTCATACCTTGTGAATCAAGCTTCCAAACTATTCCATATTACCAGCCCGACGCTGAGAAGGAGACAGGCTATTCGCTCGAATGAGTGAATTCACCCTACCCGATCAAAACCATATGAATGAAGATCCTTNCCTTCTTCCCTGTAAACAACCACTCGCTGAAACCCTCAGCTAAATAGAAGGCTGCTCAAGTTCTTCTTGTAACTTGTGATAAACATTCATTCTTACTGATAGAAGGTAGGCAGATAGTTAGGACGCTGGCACCTGTTGCGAAATTTGATCTTACCTTTTTTTTAATTCTGTCATCTGGTAGTAGACATCCCCATGTATCACTAAAGGTGAAAGGGCTCCTGGAGTGGATGTTTGTTGTCCAGCGTGACTTGAATCAGAAACCTGGTCAACCATTTTGACGACTGAGTCCATTTCACATCAGTGTAATATCCTGGCCTGATCAGATCCTTTTTCCTTCTGGCAGATCCCCTAAACTTCCCTTCTGAGTGAGTTGTTGAAGGGTGACAAAGTTTATATAGTAATAATCAATTGGAAGGTCTAATGGAATATCGCAATCTTGAAAAAAAAACCCAGGAATGCCGTCCGCCCGCAACGTTCAAGGTCATCCGTCATCTGTCGGCCGTCTCATAGAGACCAAAAAGTTGAACGCCCTTCTCACCTGTGGATTTTGATGGAGTACTCGCAGAATGTCGGATTTCAGCAAGACACACAACCCATCAGAAGATGTTCTGGCTATCCAAACTATCCAAATGAGGTTGTAAGAAATGTGATCCTTGCAATGTTACAACGGAAAGATGTTGCGTTCCCAAAGACGCCTCTTCTGAGGGAGATTTCGGGGGAAATTGGATCTTCTGGAATTAATAGGCCAAGCGTGTGGTTACGTATTGCGCCAATTGCCACTTCCCCACATCCGCTCCTACCCATTAATCATGTACTGCGGTTGGGACAACATAGAGAAGATCAGAATGGTCGTTAAACTGCATAGATCGATGCAAGAGTTTCCAAGCATCAGGGAATCCCTCTCATCGCCATGCTAGGTTGGGACTTCTGGCATATCATCGGATACCTTCTGTCGGTTTAACAAGAGAAAGTGATGTAGGAAGTCATCAAACTGCGAACATTGCTGGATTTCTAGACCCATCCTTTCGAGCGTTGAAAGTTTCTTCCCCCTCTCCCACCAAGCTTCTTCCCCACCTTCTACTCCTCCCTCCCCCTCAATTCAGATACTGCTGGAACTGAAAACATGGAAATCATGAAAAACTTAAAGGCACTGTTCACAAAAAAGTGGTTCGGAGATTTGCGCATGGTTTGAATTCGAAGCCCCCTCTGGTACCATTCGTACAGGAATGAGGTCGGAAAACGACTGGATAGGGCACAATAAGGGGCCGGAGAGATATCCACGGTCGCCCTCCGCCCCTTGATCGGTGTCACGTTAGACGAGTGTCGAGACAAGACAGATTGCTATTATTCGTTCTAGGACCCA